TCTCCCCCTTGTTCCTCCGTCAAGTTCCTCCTAATCCTCCTATACGTGCAAACATATGATATTTGTCCTTCTCTGCCTGACTTATTTCGCTCAGCAGAACACCCTCAAGGTCCATCCATGTTGCTACACGTGGCCAGATTTCATTGTTTCTCATTGCCATGGAGTATTCCATGGCATAGATAAACCACATCTTCTTGATCCATTCATCTGTTGATGGACACTTAGGCTCTTTCCATGTTTTAGCTATTGTGGAGAGTGCTGCTGACCCTGAATGACATTCTTAAACATCTAACCGGACTGAATTATGAATTTTAATTACTGTGCTCATTATGTTATTAATAGACCAAATTATTAATTATATAAACCAACTAAGTAAGCATTCTTCATACTATGTAATGGTTAATATAACATACAAGTTCAAATCAGCTGGTGACAGCCAGTGGATTGTTCAATCTTGCTTTAAAAAAATATGACTGATAATGACTGATTTTTGTATCATTTTCCTTTTAATTCTTACCCATCTTTTGGCCCTCCACATGAAGAATACAGTAAATTGCCAATGAAACTCTTTACACAGATTTTCTTGAAGGAGAAAGTAAAGGAAGAAAATGAATGGATAAAGGAAGTAGAGAGAAGGTGTAGAATATACATAAAACCGCAAAAGAACAGGAACATGATGAATCCAGCCAGGAAGCCTGGAGGCAAAGGAAAGAGAATCATAGGCAGACTCTTTCTCCATGAATTTTTTTAAAAAAATTTTGAGAGACGGAGAGAGACAGTGAGAGACAGAGCGCGAGCAGGGGGAAGGGTAGAGAGAAAGACAGAGGTAAAGAATCTGAAGTAGGCTCCAGGTTCTGAACTGTCAGCACAGAGCCCAACGTGGGGCTGAAACTCACGAGCCGAGCCGTAAGATCAAGACCTGAGCTGAAGTCAAACACTTAACCGACGGAGCCACCCAGGCACCCATCTATGAATTTTTAAATAAAATCAACTCCTGGTCCAAACCTAATTTATTTGGGTACATTTTGAAGAAATACAAAGGTATGCAAAAAGAGAGAGACAGAGACTCTATTTATAACGATGAGCCTAATTCAGGGAGGGCAAAATCACTGTCCCGCCAGATCTCCTTAGCAGATTAAGCTCTTAAATGAAAGGATTCATGGCGAGTGGTCCAACAGGAACATACTCAGAGCATATTATTGAAAGCTGGCCACAGCGCTGTTTGTGTGACCTTCACAACTCTGTGACCTTTACCACTTGGGCAAACATTACCATGATTTTTACGTGTCCCACAATTGTAGCTGAGAAACTGACTTTGAGGGAGAAGTTATGTTGATTGTGCAATGACACACAGCAAGGTAGAGGCTGAATTAGAACTGCCAGACTGCTAGTAGTTGTGAGAACATGGTTACTACACAGGAGTGATACAAGAAGGGGGTATTACTGCAGTTAACTGTCCTGACTACCCAAAGTTTGTGTACATTTTCAACGCTTTGGGAAAACAATTTGACATTTTTTAATTAAGGCTGATAATACTAATTCTCTATTCTCCAGCCATTTCACTTCTACTCCAGAAACTCAAGCACGTATGCACCAGGATTCACAGCCAGGAATATTCATAGCAAAATTAATATCCCCAAGCTGGAAACAACTCAGGTGTTCAACAGTGGAGTAGACGGTGAATTTGGGTAGATTCATACATTTTAATGCTATAGAACAAAGAAAATATATGAACTATAGAAACACTCAATAAGATATGTGGATCTCACAAATATAACTCTTAGGCCATAGAAGAATTTACAAAAGAAACCTAGACTATGACTCCATTTATACAAGATCCAAAAGAAGGAATGTAATCATATTGTTTAGGAATGTTGACATAGGTTGTAAAATTATAAAGAAAAGCATGAACAAGATGATCTCAGCAATCAAGATGGTGATTACCTGTAAGGTAGGGCAGAAGGGAGAGATGATCAAGAATGGATTTCTGGGCTGCCAGCAATGATCTCTGTCTTACCTGGGTGACAGTATACAGGTGTCGCTTTATAATTATTGTTCAAACTATGCTTTATGATTCTTTACATTTTTCTCTCAATAGTCTCCAAATGGATGGGCTATCTCATATATTTCTTCATTTCCTACAGTTTACCTTTTCCTATTTCTTGCACTTTGATGATGAACTTAAATATTTGTATTTAAATGAAGAAAGCACAGAGTCAAGGTGAGAATATCTGATGAACCCAATTTAATCAACACGTATGCTAATAGTAAAAAGCAGACTGTATTTTCATACACATTTATACTAAAATTAGGCAGAAATTGAGATTAGCAACCTTCCATTTTTCTGCTGTTACCTACAAAGACAATTTTGGCCTCGTTGTAAATCTTCCCTGGAGTCAAGATCGCACCATATGATCCAAAGTGATTGCCATATGGGTGAAATAAAAACCAGAAAAGCTCTGAATAAATTGACATTGACTTTCTTTGAATGGAGGCTTCGAGAATTAGGAGGGGAGAAAACGCACACCATGAGATGGAAAAAAAGGAAAGCAAGAATAAATAATACTCGTTACATCTTTAAAAAAATACTGTGTACAACAGGTATTGCCTATTTCATTAAGAAATGGAAACATGCCTCTGTGCTTCTCATTTGCAACTTGTACACACACACACACACACACACACACACACATTCTATGCTAAGTATAAAAATCCTGCTGTCACCTGCGGAGGGTCAAGGACACAAGTGGCTGCAATAGGCTTCTTCCCTTTCTCTCTCCAACTTGGGCTCCAACTCCTGCTCGTCTCCCAGGCTCTCTGGAGTCCTCGTCTCTGGGCAGGACCTAAAGTAGTCTGAGGGAGGTGGCTAGCACTGTGATGTCACTGACGAAATATCTCAGAGGAACAACCTCCAAAGGTTTGAGGCTATTTGTGTTTAGGGGGAGCAAGAAAGATGTTGACTAAGACTCTATTGCTTTGGCTGCTGATCTGTAATAACCCCGTAGGGACTCCAGGTGCTCTCTTCCAGTTGACTTTAGGTACAATGGATGTGGATTTTAAATTCATCTTTTACATCTTCGTGAGTATCTCCTACAAGTGTTTGAAACCTAATAAACCAACAATAATAGACTGATATTAACAGATGGGTGCTGAAATTGGCCGCTCCTCCTACTCAGCATGTGAGGGTGTCAAAATACGACTTCACTTTACCACCCACATCCTTAACTATTGGAAATGCAAAGACTTCTCTGCCTTACACACACACATCCCGAACCGCACAGGCACCAGAATTCAACAGGCATCTTTGGCTCCTTCAGAAGTGACCATAGTCCAAGGAGTGAAACTGATCTCCTCAGTCACCTGCTCTGCATACGATTCCAGCTAGGCTGTATTCTG